ATATCAGTTCTATAGTATATTTTCCATATAATCATTATTTCAAATTTATATCTTATTTTATGGAATAGCTATGTATTTGTTTGTTTACTAAAGATTCTGTGTATTTACATACATATGTATGTTTTTTCAAAATTCAATTTGTATAGATAATTGAGTATTATACCTATAAATATGTAGATAGGTAGATATGTATTTAAATACTTAGATCAACTCATACTTGTCGTATTGTGTCAATGAGCGCCGTAACGCCTCGTGTCCCAGTGTCAGACAGGCCGGACTTTCTTTGTATACACCCTGCGCCTCCAGCACCGCATGCGGCGCGCAACGCCATGGATCGCCTGTCTTCACTTGCCACTTGACCAAACGGGCGCTCAACTCCTCAAATACACGCTGATACTTTGATTTCTCCATTAAATTGTTGCGTTCCAAAGGATCAGCCTTAATATCGTACAACTCCCACTCCGGTCGTTCATAATAGGAAAGCAGCGACTTGTACCATGGATAGGGCTGTTTAGCGATCGTCGCATTCAACAGTTGTTGGAAAGTAGGCGATGTGTAGAGATCTTGATCGATGGGGAAGTAGGACCAGAAGTTAAGATTGTGTATCAGTTTGTAGCGGCGTGTGCGTATCATGCGCATAGGGTAGGTCATGGTGACCTCATGGAAATTTTGACTACCAAACACAGCGTCGCTCTCCACTGGTTGTGGTTCTTCGTACAATATCGGCAGTAGAGACTTGGTTGCATCATCGCTAGATCCATTCACAGTAGGTGTATAGTAGTGGAAAGCATCTAGTACGGTGTTGAAAATGTCCAGTAAGCTTGACATAGCCGCCGTGGTCTCATGGCGACGTGCTTTAACTGTTGGCGCCGCAATAATCATTGGTTCGCGCACACCCCGTTCATAGAGGTTCGTACGACCGCCTGGGAACGGTGGACCATTGTCCGATGTATAGATGACTAAGGTATTCGCATCGAATGCTTTCGCTGCGAGTTCTTTTAGCACCACGCCGACACCTTGATCCAAACGCGATGTGGTCATGTATTGTGCTGCCAGTTCCTGTCTTACTACATCGGTATCAGGTAAATGCGCCGGCACATCCAAATTACGCCAATCATAATAAATTGGTTTCCAATCTGGTATTGTGCCCATTCCTTCCTCGCCGGAGCCCCAACGTTCACAGAATTCACCATACTGCGGTGTTATGTGGCCACAACGATGTGGATCGTGAAAGGCGACCAGTAGGAAAAACGGACGTGCTTCCTCTCTAGCCTTGGCGAAGAACTGCCGTGCATAGAGCCTAATATTGGTTATATTGCGGCCTATTTGGTTGATCGGATGTTGCTCCTCTGTCTGCTCGAAATCAAAGCGAAAGTTCGGAGCAGCACCAACATGCTTCTTGCCGATGATGCCGCTTAGAATGCGACCTTTTGACTTTTCACGCAGCACATTCGGTAGCGACGAAACGCCGGGCAGCACGTTGAAATTATGTACGCCCTGGTGGAGTCCATACATGCCATTGCTGTGACTCGCTTGCCCGGTTAAAAGTTGTGCGCGACTTGGCGAACAGCTGCTTACCGAAGTGAATGCGTTGTTGAAGAGCAAGCCGCGCTCAGCCAATGCATCTAAGTTTGGCGTCTGGCAGAACTTGTTTAGGTATGCGCCCGACTCGAAACCAGCGTCGTCGGCTAAAAGTATCAAGACATTTTTTATTTCATCATTTGCCGCTGACGTTATACTTAGCGGGCTCAAGGCGGCAAGCAGTGCTAGAAGTTTGATTGTAAGTTGATAGAGCAGCGACATTATAAGTACCTACGATGTACATATGTATGTATACAAGATCGACCGATTTATATATTTCCAATTGTTTCAACTAAATATTTCACTGATAGGCTCTTAATATTGTTATTTTTCTTATAAATATACATATATTATTGGTCAGCTTATGTGACAGACATTTTAGTAACAACTAATCCAAACAAAATTAAAACTGCCATCAGCGACGAGAGTCACTTCCGAACTAACGCAAGACTATTTATCCGGCTTTGATTTAAAGCTGAGACTTACATTTGCGCCAGCAACATTCGTTCATTCTCAACTTTGCGGGTGAAGCGAGCTCAAAATTTGTATCCCGCTTGCTCTACTTTTGGTTGCGACAATAGACTCCAGCTGAGGCAGTTGAAAGATACAAATGTATGTACGTATATACATATGAAATTACTGTGCAGTACGAGAACCAATGCTGGATACATAGCGCCAGAGAAGGTCTTACAGTGGGCCTAGGATAGTAAATAATCACTGAAAATAAGTTATTATGTATAAAAATTAATTGCTGTGCATTTGGCTTGAATAGATACGGTAACGACTGGACAGATACGCTAACGACAGATGATTCCGTCATAAATAAATTATAATTGATAGGTTCTTATCAACAACAATATACCTTTAGTTAGTTTTAAACATTATGTGTAAATAAATAATTTTGACTTTTTTTTCTATAATGGCCCACTGTTCTATTGCAATGCTTTTGCCCATTAATCGAAGTGAATGCCAGTTTTGTGTTCAATGTTGTAGGTTGATTTCATGTGGAGAAGGTAGAAAGTGGGAAACATGTAAAAACACAAGAAAGTGACCAACTTATAATCTTATCTTTACCATTGATCGTTAACCCTTGAATGAGTGATATTTTTGAATGGAATTAATGATGCGAATGTGTTTTTAAATTTGAAAAACGAAAAATTTCGCAATGTTAGCTTAATGAGCAAAAAAATACTTATATATTAAAAAAAAAATATATTTCCTTTGGTCACTTAAACGCTTTGATTTTTTAAGATTAATTTGTTAAACAAAAATGTAGATTACAAATTTTCAAAGTTTTTCTCTGTGATCAGTTTTGCTTCAACATTTTTCTTCTATCATCCGGTCTGACAGTGAATCAGGGTTGTTTAATACTTATATTTTGCAAACCCTTCACAAAATTTAGGGGTATTAAGGCTAGTTATTAAGGCTACAAACCGGTTTCTGAACTGAACCACCACATTTTTCGGATTTCCAACCGAACCGTTTCAATTTTGAAATTCTCACCAAGCTTTTCTGGTGTTGAGACTTTCGGCTTGGAGAGGGGTTTTAACTTTATGATAGTGACTCAGTGTATAGTTCTGCAAATAAAATAGGTTTGGTAATTTCTTGTTGAATTTGGCAACAAATATAGAGACATTGTGGCAACACTGAATATGGAAATTTTAAGCGAATTATAGAGCAAGTTTTGTATAACGATGGAGGACTAATTTACTATTTGCTTGGTAGCAGGAAATATCTTGCCCTTCTTCAACTTCGCAATGCCATAGTTGCACTTTTTGTTGATTGGCACGGCATACTCAAATTCCACTCGGCAGACTTACCGTTCGAACACAATACCGGCAAACGGCGAATTTCGCCCAGCAAAGCGATGCCGACATCCAATTTTCGCCCAGCTACATAAGTCGCTTACTGAAACACATATAGAGTATTATACCTTGGTTATAATGCACGGGGCGAATCGTAACAAATCGTGGCGAATTCGTAAGGATCTATTGATTTTAGATGCTTCCGTTTTACGTTACGTTCAAGTGCATTATAATCGTTCGAATTCATTGCCCATACAACAAATAATTACGTGACAGTTCACTCCGTTCCGTTACTTCAATTATAATCCAGGCATTATTTAATACCAGCAAGAATAACAAAAAAAGGCGATTTAGAAAATACATATAAGCATGAGAGCCTACAACTGTACAGCTCAACAATTTCAAAATAATTTTAATAGCTTTTCTAACAGGGAATTACAATTTTCAGGTTATAAACAAACAAAAAATCCATATTTAATGATAATTTTAATTATTTTACCTAAAATAGGAGAAAAAAGTGTAATAATGACATAAATTTAACTTTAAGTTAGAATAAGTTAGTAGGCTTATGAAAAAATTAGAGGAGACGTTTTTTGTAAAGCGTCTAATTTCCTATAAAGGTATGTATCGTATTTGTTAGTGCGATAATTCATAGCCCAGAAAATAATTTCCAAAATTGAAAACAGTTTTTTTTTCTAAGCAATTCATATGGAAAATAGAAATCCACGATGCGCAACCTTTTAAACTTAATATTTAGGGTTGTGGTTTTAGCAGGCATCTTTTAATATGCCCCGGGGGTATTGAAGAGGGGACTACTAAAAAAAGTTAGTCTATTTTTTTTTTTGGAATCAGTCTAATTGTCACCAGGGTCTTGATTTGCCACTGGCGCTGACCACGGCGATGGAAATAAATCTATCGTCGCGAAAAGTCGTGTCGAGGGAACTTCGTTGTTGTTGTTGTAGCAGCATACAAGCCCCCCAAAGGCTTTTTGGGGAGTGTTGCTGGAGTGAAAGTCCTTGGCCAGATATAAATCTGGGTCGTTCCAGCTACGTAGACCCGACTGTCGTGGGAACGGAGGGAACTTCGTCGTTTGCTTTAGTTGTGCGCATTCTCATATATGTATGTACGCCACACTGTACAGCGAACATTCGCGGCGAAAAATTCATCGTTTGCCGGCATTATGTTTCAAGCATTAGTGTTTCGTTCCAATATTACCACAGTATTAACATCACTAGATATCATTTGTGATTTACTGTTGGTCCAAAGATTAAAGATTAGT